AGTGGGGGGGGGGGGGGGTTGCCTGCATAATTTTGGTGAAGCAGATCGATCTGAGATGGTAGATAATAGAACAAAATGTGGATTAAATTTTAAATGAAGCCAAACCAAAAAAGCCTATTGAGTTACTTGAGAATAATATTGGATTTCCATCCATTCGTGTTTTCAGGCATGTTTTCTATGGCAAAAATTCAGCCTTTCAAGAATTAAAAGGACAATATTTGCATAACAAGAATTCATATTAAGAGAACTAATCTGATATTCTACTTATCTTTAGTTTAATTTTTATACAAGAGCTCAAGAAAAAAGGTCACAAGTAACAAATTTAAGGTAGCTCGAAATGTTTAATGAAGCAGATTAATCTATTGACACGCATAAGCAGTTTTATCAATTACAAAATGAACTCTTCACAAGCATGTAAAGTTTTGATTGCACGACACCCAAATATTTGATTTCATGAAATACTCACAAATATGAACAGTATTTAAAAAACGTGCAATCAAATATATACTCACAAATATTTCATATTTAAAAATTGTAAATGAACATATTTGTGAGTATTTCATGCTAATCAAATGCACTACTTTTACCTTAGAGAAAATGCTTTAGATAAATAATTGACTGATACCAATAAGACAAAAATATTTGAAGTTACTTTATCATCACAAGGCCTAAAAAAGATTGGATCCGTCTACAGATAGCTCTATAACCTGTATATTACTGGTTTTGACACCAAGCGTTCAAAAGGGTAATGCAGTGCACCGGCAATCCTAACAATGTGGAAAGAAAAAAGAGGTCACTTCCATCTTTGCACAATTAGCAAGATTCTAAATATCAAAAAAGATGTGCCTTCCATAGTTATATTAATGTGAAAAAAAGAGAACAGTGGCAGGGCAGGGTTAACAACATCTCATCCATACAATGCTTCAACGCCAAAAGTTGCTAACAAAAATAAGTAATTCTGCCTCTTTTAAAAAGGATAAATTAATGTCACTGGTTTAGGTTGTTGCTTTTGTGTTTCTGCTGAACTTGTGGCTTCCAGGAAAACATCCATTATTCAAACATGGATTTACAAATTGCATCTTGTGCGAAGGGGAAATATTATCCATGCAACAAAAAGAACACCAATGATATTGTAATGCCATCAACTCACCAGCCATGATATTTCGTTTTGAAAGGTCAGCTTAATATCTAACTTTTCTGGTCGAATGAACGGTTGAATCACGGATATCTTCTCAGAAAGTTGCTTATCAACTTCTACGTCATCTGGAACTGAAGCAAATACACGGGATAATAACTTTGTCATGACATATTTCTCAAGTACCTGTATATTAAAGAAAGCCCAGAGTAAGAGATCAACATCAATGAGAATCATCATTCATTAGTCATGAAGTAATCACTTTTACAGGCATTTTATGAACATCTTCTCTGTCTATTTCTCTCCCTCTGTTTCTTTTTTTCTTTTTTCTTGGGAGGGGTAAACAGAACATTACTCTGTTTGAAATCATCTGACTAACTTGTACCGAAACATTAGTGTATCATGGCTTTTATATCATGATGGAATGTCATCAAGGTAAAAGTCAAACAACTCACTTCACCAGCACTCTCGAGCTGCTCCTCGGAACAACCAGCCCAAAGCGGCTGAGCCTTGAAAGCCATTTCCATGTTGGCAAGGAACTCCTGTACGAGAGCACTGTCCCTTTTTGGATCAGGTTGAAAAGAAGACAATGAAGCTTGCATACAGAATTAAAATCCCACAATCAAACCTTCTATTGTAGGACTCAAACAAATCCATGGCAAATTCAGTATTAATAGGTAGAAAGGGTAAAGAAAAAAAACTGCCTTCTCAATTCCAGCAGCGAAGTAGTAATAATTTGGCTCCCTATAGATAGATTGATCCCTTGTAAGGGCCCGTTTGTCTACACAGTGAAAACTGCGGTTCAAGCCAGAAAGCATAAAAAATGATGTTTTTTGGCTTGAAACGCAGCAAACAGCGTAGATAAACTCGCACTCAATAAACTCAATATGTGGCATCTGGACATCACAAAGACAAACGGAATTGAGCCCCCAATAGAAAATTCAAAATTCGAGGATCCAGAAAAGCATTCTACAGAAACCGTATCTAAATATTAATATGTATAATTATTACCACCAAAATTCAATTCAATTCTTGCCAAAAGGGAATTGCTTTCTATTCTTAAAGAACCCAGTCGTTCCTAGTGGTCTAATTATCCTCTCTGCAGTGCTTTTAAATAACTTTTAGAGCATCTCCAATCCAAAATGCTATTTTGAAAAGCTAAATTGATAAAATAGCATTTTGAATAGTATAAATATAGCTTATCTTACCATATCTATTCCAATGGAAAAAAGCCATTTGAAGAGCCATTTATATTGGAGTGAAAAAAATAAGTGTTTTATTATTTCTTAATATTGTTTAATGTTATTTTTTTTTCCACATGTCTACATTTAATTGGTCTATTTTTTTAGTGGTCCCACTTTGTTGGTTTTGGTTCTTTAAAGAGATATGTAGAAATAGCATTTGTGGGAGAGAAAAGGCATTTTAGCATTTTGTTTGGCTTCTCCATTGGAGTATGCAAAACAAACAAAGAAAAGCCAAAATATTAATTTTTTATTTTTGGCTATTCATTTGGCTTCTCCATGGAGATGCTCTTACAGAGTTATGTGGCAAAATTGCATTTCTTTTTTAAGTATAAAAAATTAAGCTGGGTAAAGTAATTGCATCTCATTTCGCGGAAAGAAACAAATCATCTAAATCGAAAGGAAGCCACGCACAATCATAACTATACTATTTATAGAGAATTAGAGAGAGACCTTTTGATGGGCTTGACAAAATCAGCGGCGGAAGGGTTTCGCTTTCGCATCCGTTCTAGGAAAACGCGCAATCCCAGCGATGTGTTTGCGTTCTCCATTAATTTTTTTTCTTCAAATTTCTGTTATTAGCAGCACTCTGTTATCTAGCTTATTCACTATTAAAAAAAATTAGAAGCCTGATTTTTTTCTGCTCTATCCGATCCTATTCCATCTGTATTCCATTTACAGAGAGAGAGAGAGAGAGAGAACGAAAGGAAGAATGGAAGATATTTCAATTTCCACTGAGGATGAACAGGAAAAGTCCACTGAGAGAGATTTTAGTTCATTGACTTCGAGACTTCGAGACTTCGTCGAGAGAGATAGAGAGAAAGGAAGGAAGATATTTCAAGTTCCACTGAGGATGAACAGGAAAGTCCACTGAGAGAGAATTTAGTTCATTGACTTTGAGACTTCGTCGAGAGAGAGAGAGAGGTGCAGGAATACAAACGTCATAATTCGTAAACAATAACGTTACTATATTATTAATTACCAGCTGAATCGGTTAGCAAATTTAATTTATTTAACATTTAAATTAACAGATATAGGTGTTTTCATTATGAATTCATTTTAATAATGTTTTTTATTTTTTTATATTTAATTTATCGGTCATTTAGCTTAATAATATAGTTTAGTTTCCTTTATATAAAGCTATTTAGTTAATTTAAATTTAATAAATTAATCTGATTAATTTAAGTTTTTTTATTTATTGTATTGATATTTTTTATAAAAAAAATTTAATATTTTATTGATTGAAAATTAGATTTTATAATTTATTTTTATAAGTTTTATAATTCAAGTCACATATTTAATAAATTAACTCGATTAATTTGAATTTTTTTAATTTAATCTTTCAACATTTTATTTATTTATTATATATTAAGTTTTTTTAATTTATTTTAATTTATAAAAATTTATTTTAATTTATTTTTTATAAAATTATTTTGATATTATACTTTAAGTAATGAATTTGACAATTAACATTCATCATTATTTTTATTAAATTAATTAAAAATTATACTTTATAATTTATTTTTTATAGATAATTTTAATCATATACTTCAAATAAAAATTTAATACGTTAAGTTAATTCAGATGGGCTAGATGATGACTCGTAGCTGACTTGCCACACTGGTCGAAGCCAAGCTCGGAATTTGCCGAACCCTGGAAATACAAAGACATCAAAACCGGAGAATCGAATTCAATCATTAAAAGCTTGAATGTTAAAATTTTCATTGATGATGATAAGAGTTGCATCAGAATTCAGAATTCAGAAGCAGAAGCAATGCCATCTTTTTCTTTTTTACCCCATTTTTCAAAATAAAAAAAGTGTTGCCTGTTCAAAGAAGATAATGCTACTAAAGAAAACTTATGCTGGAATGCAGCCCCCCAGCTAATGTGTGTATCTATGTCATAAATTACATTTAACCATCTGTTTTCCTGTTTTCCCCAACTACGTGACTCAACTCCCAAGTCCCTATCAGGAAGTATAATGCTGGGGAGTACATACACCGTGCACCCTCCCACGCCAAGAAAAAAGCTGGAAGATCTGTGGATCACTATCTTCTAAAACCCATATTTCAATGCAGGTTCCGATCAAAATTTTCTACATAAATAGCAATTCCAAAGTTCTTGCTCCAGCACTCTTCAAACAGGCATCATTCAGAAGTTGAAGAAGCAATATGTTCAAAATTTGGAGACATATACCATATCTATGTGGACTGCCTCATCTCCACTCTGCATCCCACCTACGTACTCATCACAATTGAATAACGTCATAATCTGATTGCCACCAAATTCAATCCCATCTAATTTAAAAGAGAGCACTCCATACAGATCCGTCTCCTTCACCACATTTTTCATGAACGAATTTGATCCTCTCCACCGATTTGCAAATTCCACTGCAGCTCCAGTCAAAGGATGCAATGCACACATCACCCGCTTGGGCCTTCCACGCACAGTCTGAAGTGGCAGAGTAGAAACACCAGTTAAAAATAGAGTACCACGTGAGGAATGAAGAAGGAGAAGTGCAGAACCATACAATTGCATAGTTGTTCCAGACATGTCAGTTGCAAGATCAGATTAAAACCCAATATTCAGACTTGTAACAATCTTAAGCATGAACCACACTCCGTGCTCCTTTTAACATTTTTTTTTTAATTCCTAGCTACAATTCAATTTAAAGCTTAAAAAGCTGAATGCGCCGATAATTTGAGAGCAATACCTGGTGGTGTCCCACAGCACATGCTGTGGTCATCAATGTGCTCAACCTCAAGACCGATAAACCATGCACCAAGAGACACATCTTCATTGGCATACTTATGCAATATAGGCCTGCAGTAACAGCAAGAACCAGAGCATAAACTGTCTTGAAATAAACAATAAAAAAAGAACAAGAAGTGAGATGCAAAACATCAAAATTGTGATGCTACTTGATCCAATGATCTTTCATGCTTTTGTACTAAATAGACCTATAATATGTTCCACAATTACACAAGAGATTAGATTTTTGTAACTACCATTTGGAATTGAACATAATTTTTTTTTATCAGAACCTGAAATTGATTTTCAAACAATTTGATGTCAGGTCAAGTATTAACAAGTATAAAGCTCAACAATCTATACATGGGAGACCATAAGATGAATCACGCCAACCAAAATTCCTAGTGCAAATTGCTATCCTTACTGGTTAAGGGAGATATAAGTGGCAAGTTCTTTTGAGATAGCATATATCTGCCCAGTTGCATGACGGAAGTATTTGTTCCCTTCCTCTCCAAATTTCCAATACTCTGGTTCATGATACTTGACATTCCTATAGAATAGAAAGGAATTTTTAGATATATTTAACACCAATTCATAGATACAAAAAGATAAAGAACATTAATATTCTCGTCAGTATAGAACTAAGGGTCTAGAAGAATTACTTTTGGGAGAGAACAGGTCCAGATTTCATACATCCAATGTACACCCTGGGCTTTGATCGATGGCGAGCAAGTGTAGAAGCTAGCATACCTACAGAAGAAAGAAGTGTGTGAGATCATCTTTGGTAACGGGGAATATTTTAAGGAGCTTATGTTTTCAAAGATGCTAAGAGCCAGTGCATACCCAGATTAACATGAACATCATCATCCACCTTGACATAAAATTCTGCATCCCACTTTGCAACTGCTGTGGAAAAGAAAATTTTTGTTTTTGCAGACAATTCATGGTATCCTTCAACATGCTCCTACAAATTTTAATATAATTAGATCCAACTCCTGGCATAGTATACATCCTATCTTTCAAGATACAGAAAAAGCATCATAGTTTTCTTACCAGCCTAAGGAAATCCTTATGTTGAGCATCTTCTGAATCAATGGCTCTGTCTAAAATGCTGTTGGATGTTGCACTGAAACAATAAATACAAATACCATTAAGGTCAATTTCAATTCAATTCAATGGAGAATTTTGCGCAGATATCCATAGTAAGATACAGCCTCATGTCAAGTCAACTTATCATGTTTGTATTAGTCAGGGTGTTCTAAAGATGATCTTTCAGATCAACTACTTGCAATTTGCAAGTTATATCATTGGATACTGCCATTCAACAACACTACAGAAACCTCAGAGAGAGGAACAGAAACCAATGAGGAGGAAGAGAGAAAAGTGCCAAAGGACAATCTCTACTTCCCTCATCTTCAGAATCTAGCCTTTAGCTCAAACCAAGCTCTCAAACACTGACCAATTTTCTTGATTATTCATCTAGGGAAGTGTGTATTAGTAAATAACTAAAATTCCACGAGGACATCTCTTAAGAAAAAAATATCACCTGACAGCTTAAATATAAGAACAACCATCTCAAAGACTGATTAATTACTTGCAAGGACCACATGAAGCCTTGATTTCAGAGAAATTATCCACTTAAAAGAGTAAGGGCACATAGCCTGTGTATTTTATTGTTATGTATCCCCCACTTCTTTCCACATGAAAAGATCGTGGATAGAATGATGACTGAGCATCATCATCAAGTCTAGCTGCAACGAATAGCCACCATATATGCTATATAAAGATGCAGCCAAGAAGTGATGATACATTCACATTTGCCTCTTGGAATAGACAGTGATACATTTGTTAAATATATCTAGCAAACAATTAGACGATTCCTCAGGAACCATCTTAATCCAATGAGTTTCACTTGCTTACAAGATCAAGTCTTCTAAACCACTTCAAGTAAAAATGTTTCCTGCAGATGGTGTCAAGGTAATAAAGAAACTTCTCAAGACTTGCACAATAAATGATTAAAAGGGGCAAAGACAAATCAATTCACCTGTGGCCAATCATGAACCGGACAATAATACCCTTCTCGCGCTCCAATTGGATAAGCTTCTCCCCTAATCAATAAACAAAACAATTTGAAAAATGACTAAAACCATCAATCTAAAACACCCGGTTTTTCAGAAACAAACGAGAAATGCACAGAAGACAACTAATACCTTGAGGCATCCAAGTCTCTCTGACAGAATCACGTCTCTTTCTACTACTAAAAGCAGTGTTAATCCCAATAACCATGAACACTTTCTGCCTTGGTACGGGAGCAGAGCTTTTCACACTCATCTCTTGAGAACTCTTAGATGCTATTTGCGTTTGAAGCACTGCAATTGACTTATCTAATGATCTGGTGGGCCTCCAAAAATTCCACAAAAGTGAAACCAATGTTAACAAAAATGGAGAAAATGAAAATAGAAAAGATAAATTAGGATCAGTGCAAGAAACACTCACTGAATTACTTCATGGGTTTTCAAAACTTCGTCCATTACATCTTTATTCTGCGGGAGCTTCTAAAAAGAAAAACGATGACTTTAGAACCAAAAAGAAAGGCGAGAGTCAAATCAAAAGGATGGGCAAACTAATTTCGATGGTTTGTGATAAAAGAGAATAATAAAATAGACCTCGTTAGTTGTGGAATCGCCATTGATGACTTGCAATTCTTGTTCATGTCGACGCTGGGATAGGAGCTGTTGACCGTTGGGTTCAGCTGAGGAATCCCATAATCTGCACACACGCACGCACGATGCAATTCGTGAACAAGATTTGACGGTAAGTAAAAACTAAAACAAGAATAAAAAGTCGAAAATGGAAGGGAATAAAAGGATGGGTGAAGAGAGGGGGTGGACCTGTTAGAGAAGAGAATTCCAAGAGCGAAGCAAAATACACAGAGAAATGGAATCCATTTCGCAGGGGCAGAGGATTTGTTAGTGACTCGGCCCCTCATTGCCGTGAGATAATTGAATAACTCGCAGAAGGGGAGATAAATTTCTAATGTCTTCCTTTTGTTTTTCTATTCTATTGTGTATTCTATCGTATATAAAGCAGGACGCGGAGAGCTATGAGTGTGTTTGATT